AGGCGGAGATTGTGCTAGAGGTTTGGTATGACGTACCCACTCCAGAGAGCGGGAGATAAGTCCTACAACGATTTGTGACCTGCCACTTCACCAAAGATTCTGGGGGACCGATGATCCAGCAGCACGCTGGGACATCTCCTCCCCCAAAAAAGACGCCTTGCTACATCTCCTATCCCTTCCTGGAAAAAAACGAAACGCAAAGCCTGTTAGGAATCTTTGGGTTCTTGAGAAGACACATTTCATACCTAAGTCCTGCTGCCCACATACTGGGTTACGTGGAAAGCTGTTGGCTTTGAGTGGGCCCAGAGCAGGAAGGAGCTCTGCAGCAGGTCCAGGCTGTGATACAAACAGCCCTTCTGTTCAGATTACATAATCGAGCAGAGCCTACAGTGTTGGAGGTGTCAGTGATGGAATAAGTGTGACATTGGTGGCACATCCCAGTAGAATCACAACGTAGACCCCTGGGATTACGGAACAAGTTCCTACCCACTGTGGTGAAGAGTTACACTCCTTCTAAAAAGCAGCTCCTAGCTTGCTACCGGGCCCCGGTAGAGAAAACAAATGATCATGGGTTCAGAATGGGCCATCACAAGCTAGGTCCTATCGGACACATCGACAGGTCAGGCAGGCCTAACATTAAAGCCATCCTAAGAAGGGGCGCCTGGGTGGCTCAGTCGGTTAAGCAGCCGACTTCGGCTCAGGTCATGATCTTGCTGTCCGTGAGTTCGAGCCCCGCATCAGGCTCTGTGCTGACAGCTCAGAGCCTGGAGCCTGTTTCAGATTCTGTGTGTCCCTCTCTCTGACCCTCCCCTGTTCATGCTATGTCTCTCCCTGTCTCAAAAATAAATAAAACGTTAAAAAAAAAATTTTAAAGCCATCCTAAGATGAAACCGGTCCATCTGATATGGAGCACAACCAAGACCAGAAGGTACAGACAAGCTGCATGAATACATAGCCCACGTCTCCATGTCATTCATTAGGTTACATTGGCGTCCCAGCCCTAGCTTACTCCTAGGACCATATGAGGGGGCCCCACAATAACCAGCTAAAGGATGAAGGAAAAAGCCCAAGTTGGGGTTGTGAATGAGTCATCCCAGTATGCAGTACAAGCTGAAAATGGAGGGTGGCTATAGTCTTGAAAAGCAGTGGTGAAGGGAAATCTCTGCAGTGGGAGATTTGAGATGCTCAAATAAATTTTTTTGTTTGTTTGTTTTTTTAAGAAAGAGAGAGAGAGAGCGCGCGCGCACACACATACACACGTTTGAACGGGGGAGAGGCAGAGAGGGAGAGAGAGAGAAAGAGAGAATCCCAAGCAGGCTCCATGCTGTCAGTGTGGCGCTGGATGCGGGGCTGGACATGGAGCTCAAACTCAAGAATTGTGAGATCATGAACTGAGCCAAAATCAAGAGTGGGACAGTTAAGGTATTGAACCACCCTGGGGTCCCTTTGGTGGAGGGCTATGCTAAGGGCTAGTTGTGGCCTTGCAACCAATTGCAGTGACAGGGGCTAGAGTTCATTCCATTAGTTTTCCTCTTCTAAGTTTCCTTACAGGAAGAAGAGTGGCCCACGAAGCCCTGAAGGAGCCGTCCCCTGAATACGGATGGACAAATAGATCCATGTGGCACACAGGGTGACTGTAGTGGACAAGAGTGTCTCAGTCAGACCCCCTTCAAGGCAGGGCTTGCTGCCCAACAGCTAGAAGATGTGTGGAGCTGAGAGCCTCCAGCTTTAGCTCCTTCGGGATCTGCTCCAGTGTTTGAGCCCGAGTCATGTACTTGTCCAGTGGCCCCTGGCCACGACTGAGCAGGGCGGTGGTACAAGGGCTTGGGCTTTTCTGTCCAATGTTAGCATGATAGGGAAAAATAGGATAAAATAGGCAGAGAGGGAAAAATTAGGGCCTGAGTTCCTGGGTGGGGGGGGAAACACATATTTTGGAACAATGTTGGGAGTGTCTGACCACAGCAAACCCCTCTGGGCATAAGGTTCCTCTTAAGAATGTAACAGATACCACACCTACCCTCCCTGGGGTTTCCCTCAGGAATTTGACAAAAAGACCTGACTAAAAATAAGTAGACCAAAGAGGTATGACCCACAAGGAATGATATGGCCATAGGCCACCCCTCATACAATGGAAACGAGCCAATCAGGAACGGACAACCCAGCACCTAGAGTTGTCAAGCCAATAAGGGTAAAACCTGAGAAGACAGAAGAGGGGAGGGAAAGGGAGGGGGTCGACCAGAACCTTATAAAACAAGGACCCTTGCTTATAGTCCTGGGCATTCACTTTCGAATGTCTCCTCTGTGCAAAGAGAGCTTTCACACTCTTCTTACTGTCTAATCTGATACTCTAATAAACTTTTGCCGGCTGCTCTTTTGTGTCCATCTCTTCATTCTCTGAAGCGACGAGACAGTGATTCCTGGGTATTGAGGTAAAACAAAATCCTGCAACATTTCACTCCCGCTCCCCATCGGGCTGGCAAACTTTGTCAGATCCTTATCATTGTCTGACAGCTGCCATAGCCCTAGTCTACGTCTTCCCTTGGCTTTCTCCAGTGTTACACCCCAGGGAATCGTCTGAACATCTCAACTCCTTATCAGGGGAATGCAACCTGTGACAGCAGGAATTTCAAAATTTCCCCAAATGTCTGCCTCTTCCCTTCCCACTTTCCCTTATAACTGTTTTTCATGGATTTGAATTGAGAATTTTAGACCTCTATTCCCAACATTTTAGCCAGACTACTCTTCCTCCTCCATTCTCCTATAGACCCATCGCAGCATTTAGCCACCGATTCCCTTATGTTTTAGTATTTTTTTCATGTCTTCTCAAATACAAGCTTCTTGGGGGCAGGGACCAGTTTTTAGTTTTTAGTTTTTTGTTTTTTAACTTTTGCATGTTCAGAGCGACTAACTAATATAAGGGTCACATGGAAAATGCTATGTTGAATTTGACAGTGAAAACCCAGTCCTGGGAACCTGTTAGAACACAAATAAGACCAATTGGATCGAAGACAATTATGAAAGTGATAGCTAGAGGGAACAAGCCAGATGATCCTGTGTGGGCCCCATGTTTGGCTGGCTTTTATGCCAAAGAACTCTATTCCTGAGAGACACAGTTCATCCACCATGAATTACCAAACTGATAATTTCTGTTGATCATTTGAAGAATGACCCTCTCTCTCAAAAATAAATATTAAAAAAATTTTTTTTTTTTTAATTTATAGGATTCAGTTGTAAACTTAAGAAATTCTTCAAAATGGGGGTGCCTACCTGGCTCAGAGGAGCATGTGATTTTGATCTCGGGTCATGAGGTCTATCCCCAGCTTGGTTGTAGAGATTACATACATACATACACACAAGTTTTAAAAGAAGAAGAAAGAGTGTGAGTGGGGGAAGGGCAGAGAGAGAGGGAGACACAGAATCCAAAGCAGGGCTTTGGGCAAATCCAGGGCTGTCAGCAGAGCCCGACACAGGGCTCAAACTCGCAAACTGGGAGATCATGACCTGAGCC